ATTTGTTTTAATAAAAAGATGTGTACCATATTTTAAGTGAAAATGACTGAATTGCCAAATGCGTTTAGTACATTCCTATTTTTGTAAAAAGATTATATAGATATTTGCTTGGAAATAAAGTCTGGAAGGATGTAAGCAAAAAATTAAGAGTAGTATTTTTCATGTTTTGGGGAAATTTCTTGGATCTACTTTGCTATCTAAAATAAACATATGTGGGAATTCCCCGGCAGTCCAGTGGTTAGGACTCCACACTTTCATGGCTTGAGGGCCCAGGTTTGATCCTGGTTGGGGAACTAAGATCCCACAAGCCACGTGGGGCAGCCAAAAAAAAAAAAAAAAAAAAAAAATTTAAAAAATAAATAAAATAAACATATGCTATAAAAATAAAGAGGAAAATATCTTCTAGCCTTTCCATGCAAATTTAAAATGAAATATTTTACAAAATCACAACTGTATTCAATGTCTTACGTTATTATCCTGCCTTTGTTTACTTTGTATAATATCATGCCATTGAATATTATTTTAAAAGATTTGTACAGCTTGAATTATAATTCATGGGTTAGAGTCTCCTTATTTAGCTATTTCCCTACTTTGTCTAGGTTTTTGTTTACAATTTTTTGTCACTTAAAAAAGGCTGTGATTAGCATTTTTATAAATAAATTATTGTCTGCATCTCTCATTATTTCCATAGGGGAGATTCCTAATATAAGGGCTATTGGATCAAAAGATATGACTATTTTACAATGTCTTATTCAATAAATTCCTTTGAAGGGGACTTCCCTGGCAGTCCAGTGGTTAAGACCCAGCGCTTCCACTGCAGGGGGCACTGGTTCAATCTCTGGTTGGGGAACTAAATCCTGCATGCCACTCTGTGTGGCCAAAACATAAAAAAAAAATTCCTTTGACGATACAGTAACACTAATTGCTTATTCTTTGTGCTTCTAGTTTTGTCAGTGTAGCTCTGTTTCCACTCTTTATTCACTATGGAAGCAGCAAGGAAAAGGGTTGAAGCTGCTTGGAATGCACTTTGCACTAGTGGGCAGGAGACCTTGATTCTTTAGGTCCTCAGAAAACTCCCAAATGTCCAGAAGCTTTATTTACCTTATCTTTAAAATAAGGGGAGAGGTTTCACAGCCCTAAGATTCTCTAGTTCTCCTCAGGATACCAGGAGAAATGCTGGGCTTCACACTGTTGGAAAAGAAGCACATGAAGATACCTCAGCAGAGGATATGACTTTTCATAAATGAAATGAAGTCCTTAATGACACCATTAAGCAGCTATTATTGTCTTTCTCTTAGAGCTGAAGGAACTGAAGCCCAGAGAATTTAGGTAACTTGCCTAAGATCACTGTGAACTAGTAAGAATCAAATCCAGGTGTGTGTAGTTCCAAAGTCTGTGCTGTTGACCCTTTACAATGATTTCAAAGTTGGACACAAATAGTATTTTTATGCTCTTGATATTATTATTATTATTATTTTTACGGTACGCGGGCCTCTCACTGTTGTGGCCTCTCCCGTTGTGGAGCACAGGCTCCGGACACGCAGGCTCAGCGGCCATGGCCCACGGGCCCAGCCGCTCCGTGGCACGTGGGATCTTCCCGGACCGGGGCACGAACCCGTGTCCCCTGCATTGGCAGGCAGACTCTCAACCACTGCGCCACCAGGGAGGCCCGCTCTTGATATTATTCACACACACATTCACAAGTTCTAAACTGATCATTTCTCTCCAAAGAACTTTTATTTCAAAGGGACTTACTGGTGAAACACTGTTAATGTATTAATTCCAATACCATAAAAATAGTTTAAACAAAACCTCTGGGAATGTGGTGCTATAATTTCATGAAATAGTAAGCCCACAAAAATATTAACCTTAGAAACTTTAAGAATTCTGTTATAATGCTTCAAAGAATTACGGCAAATTTTTTTTTTTTTCTAACTGAAGGCTGTATTGGTCAGTCCTTCACTTACATAACTTTCTCTCCTCAAGTATTTGAAGAGACACTCAGTGAATCTGAAAATATGTGAAAGTGCAATATTTTAAAATAATTTTACTATGTTATCTGTTCCCTGAGAATCTTTCTTAGCCTTTTCTTCCTTCCTTCCTTCTCTTCCTTCCTCCTTCCCTCCCCCTCTCTCTCTCTTTCTTTCTCCTTTCCCCACCTTTTTGTGGCAACACTCCAGAAAGCCTTGTAGAACCAAAGAGAAGCAGATTTCTATCACTGGTAACAAAATATACAAGATAATTTCTCATATCTCCACTCATATGCTACCAGCTTCAACATCCTTTGGTGAATTAATCTTTCCGGCTTCAACAATATGTAGCTACATTAATTTTAAGTGACTACAGCATAACCATTCCTATAGGAACCATGCATTTGCTAGACAATGCATATTGAAAACCTTCACATTTTCAAGGTATGTAAAGTTCGGCTGTTTTTACAGAAATGAGATGATCCATTATAAGTCTTCAGTATTTTTGTTTTTCTATTTTGAGTTTGTTGTTTTTGCTATTTATTCCTGCAGCTTTCATTGAATTCCCACTCAGCTCCATGAGGGCAGGGGCTATATTTGTCTCACTCAACATTGTACCCAACACATATCTGGTGCCCAATAAATATTTGGTTTTCTCCCCAGCTTTACTGAGATATAACTAACATAACAAAACATATTTGTTGAATGAATGTATTCTTCCCCCATTGATTTGAAACAACTTTTAAAATCACATTTAAATATAGTAATTCGTTGCTAAGCTTAGAGGTGGCTATCCACAAATACTGCCTCACTGTTGGCAAGGCAAATCAAGGTGTAGAAAATAGGGAGTGGGGGAGGGGAAAATAAAGACAAGCCCTAACAAGTAAAAATTGAGGGGGCACGTGCTTTCAAAATAAACTGGATTCATTGGCTTTAAAGATCTTTTCTAGCAGGAAAGCTTTTTTCTGAATCACCTTTTTCATTTTTTTCAGAAAACATCACTGCAACATTATCTATAAGGTACAATCTCCTACAAATGTTATGTTGTGCTTATACAGATGGTACCTTACCAGACTTGAAATTTAATTATGTTTGCTTTTGCATTCTTGATTCATTTTCTGAAATATGTTGGGAAATAAAACTGTATAGATTTATTCAGAATTATTCCATTTAGTGGAATATTTAGGATCTATGGCTAGATCTATATGAACCAAGGGATAGTTTATTATTGGTCAATTAGAAGGCAAACATTTAATGATTAATATGTCTGAAATACCATTCTGAGGTTCACTATTAGTTCAGGCTACAACAGGCATAATCTGTGCTGTAACTTTGAGCCTGCTCGTTGATCCAAAAGTGTGTCCTTCACATTTTTTTTAAACTTTGTCCACTTTTTTGCTTCCTCCCCTCACGTTAAGCAGCTTCTGCTCTATCTCTGGTTGTAAACAATGAAACAAATGGACAGTGTAGTATTTGTCTGACCCTCAAGGTCACATATGGGATTCAGAGATTCAAAGCTAAAATGAAACATTAAGGTACTATAGGTTACCAGAGACTGAAAAGAACACAGATAATAACTGGCAAAATATTATATCAAGAAATGTTAAAAAACATGATAATTTTTGTGTAGGTTTCCCCAATACTTTTTAAACTGGACTTTGGTTTCCTTGATTATACTTCTGATTTTTCTCTGTTCTTCTCTTGCTAGTCTAAATAACTTTTATCAGAGCCCCAAGGAAAGGACCTAAAACAATTCTATTTGGTGTAATAGCTGGACACATGGTAGGTATTCCTGTGTTTTTTTTTTCCCCCCTCTTATTCTTTTGGTATGAGAAACACCATACCTTCCTTCAGAAACACTGATGTATTTCCAGCTTTTTCTCTTAATTTGATGCAACCTTACCAAGATTTTTATCAGCTTTTTCTCTGAGTGACAACGAATTAATCTGTTTCAAAGCAACAAATGACACAGCCTAAATAAAATCTTGTTACTGAAGGTTGCGGAGTCACCCACTCCGTTTTTATGGCAACGCTGGTTTGGAGCATTTTGCTCATACATGCTGTCCTTTCTGAGGAAACGGTGATTTTTTTTCCCCATCCTACTGTGAAGGATGGAACCTGGGGGTCAAAGGCATCCCTGCATTTCAAGAGTGCCCACCTCAACCACCAAAGGCTCAAGCTCGGTTTAACTGGCAATTCCACAAAGGGCTCGCTGCACTTTTCGAGTGATTGAAATCACCTGTTCAAGGTCGCACATCCAATTGTTACTGGATGCAATCAGCAAGGTCTGGTAGGGCTGCCGGGTCTGCGGCCCGCCAGCTCCCAGCGGCGACTCAGCAGGCCCACCTGGTGCCCCGCAATCTGCGCAATCGCTGGGAGAACGCGCCTTCTCGAGACCGACTTCGCGCCGCAGCTGGGCCTGGCGCAAACGCCCCCCGGGCGGAGGCCGGCGGCTGCAGGGCCTGGGAACCGGAAGGAGGAGGCGGCGGCGGCCCGAGGCTGGGAGAGCGGGTGGGGGCGGGGCGCGCCTATATAAGCCCCGTGCGGGGTTGAGGGCGGGCCTAGGTGAGAGCGGCTAAGTCGGCGGAGCGTCCGGCGCCGCAGACCCGGCCAGCGAGGCCTGGGAAGGGAGAAGGAGGAGACTGGAGGAGGAGACGCGAGTGCGGGGTGGCGCCGGTCCACCTCCGCAGCTCTCCTGGCTCCCGCAGGCTTTCGAAGGCGGGCCCGTGCTGCGGCAGCGGCGGCGGCAGCGGCCTCGGTGGCCTGCGGAGGTGAAGCCTGGCTGCCGCGGCCTGGGTCGGCGGCGCGGGGGCAGGTGGCCGGCCCGCGTGGGTGGGCAGGGTTGGGCGGCCGCCGCCGTGAGTGCAGGGGCGGCTTGGCATCCTCTGGGCGGGGCCCTGGAGGGCAGGTGGCCCGTGCGTCTTACTGCAGGTCGGCCTCCTAGAGGCACCTGCAGAAGTGGCCCCGGCCGTGTGCTTCGGCGTCCGGAGGACTGTGGGGAGGGCGGGGGTCGCTGCCTTCGGGGTGCCGAGGGCCCGTCGCGTAGAAGCGTCTCTCGCCCGGGCCCTGCAGGGGCTTGGGATCCGCGCCGGCTGCCTGGGGCCTGTTGTGCCCTTGCTTTGGGGATGCTCCTCAAGGGGAGTGGGGGGAATAGCGCCGATGCGCGGGGGTGGAGGGGGACCTAGGGTCACGGTCGGGACGGTGTAAGACTCGCGAGGATGAGCCCTTAAACCGGTTGGATGTGAGTGGTTGTCGGTTAGTCTAAACAAAACTAAACACCAACTCGGGGCGGTCGCAGCTTCAGAGAGTACCTCGCTCCAAATGTCCAGTAGTGACGGACTTGCCTTATAGGCCCCAGAGCAATCAAAGGGAAGTTAGCATTCTTGTTCAAGAAGTTTCTCTTCACTTAGTGAATGAGAGCTCTAAAAGAATTGTGTGTGTTCGGGATATTCTTTTAAAAGTCGTTGTTAGTGATTGGGGTCGGGGCTGCTGGTGAGGGATAATGTAGAGAGTTTCGAATGGCTGCCTTGTCCCGATGGGGAAGGCTTATTTTTTGTGTGTCATCACTTGACCATAGAAATTATTCAATATGTGGATTGCCCTCAGCTCTGAAGCCACTGCTTGATTAGCGGCTCTTCCTCCCTGTGTGGGAAATTGAATTTCTGGAAACGTCCCCCATATTGTAGATTTTTGCCTACGTAAAGGCGCCAGTGCGTGGCACTAATTGCCTTCAAGGTAGTGAAATGGAAGTGTGGTATTTAAAGCATCATTAGGTTTTGAGCTCACTTCTGTGGAAGAGAATTTTGAGGGCGTGGGTCTAGACTTTTCAGGGAATTTAAAGCTTCTAGTCGTAATTGACTTTTATACTTAGTTTTTTTCTTCCCTCTTTCAGCCTCATCAGTTTCAATGGTGCAACTCTCTTCATCTCCTTTTGGTTACCAGTCACCTTCAGGCCATTCGGAGGAGGGAAAGGAGGGGAATATGAAGTCAGCCAAGCCCCAGGTGAACCACAGTCAGCATGGGGAAAGCCAGCGGGCCATGAGCCCCTTGCAGCCTGCTCTCGGTTCTGCTGCCTCTCCTTCGCAAGCATATGAGACATATATTGATAATGGACTCATATGCCTTAAACACAAAATCAGAAACATCGAGAAAAAGAAGGTAACTTTTTTTTTTCTCCCAGCCGTGTATATGCATCATCTTAAATAAGGGTTAAGGAACTGGCATTTTTGCTTTCTATCAGGGCTCATAGGTATTCTTCCTAAAGATTTTTTTCCTAAAGATTTAAGTAACCTTGAGATTTAGTTGGCTAAAATGTACAAGTGCGCTAAATATTGGCTATATTAAACACTTTGTTTGATTTGTCAGAATAACTGAATAAAAATATTCTTCATGGTAAAATTATTATGCATGCTACTGTTGAAATACTTGAAGAGCTGGCTACTTTACGTCAGGTTAATTCCTTGAGTGTAGTATTAATGTTTCTTTTCATAAATGAGTAATAGTCTGAATTTTTTAGCTTGTTTTCCTTGTGACTTTCTGCAGCAGTTGATATTGCAGTATAGCTGCTGCAGTCTTTGGAAGCTTTAATGATGGTAGAGCCAGAAAATGTTTTAGCACTAATTTTTGTGTTGCTAGGTGATCGTTTAAGATTGGTAGGTGAAAGCATTGTAGAGAGCCTTGTGAAGATACTCAGTGTTATAATCAGCCTAACGTTACAGTAAATGCTGATGTAAAGATCCAAATCATTCTTCATTTCCTGAGTCATGTAGCCTGTGAAACAGTACTACACGTAGCTTTGTTGTGTCATGATTCTCTTTTGCTTGTGATAGTAAGGTGAGTTAATAACTATCTGGACCTAGGAACTCTTAAATATTTTTATGCCAAGACCTAGTTAAACCTTAGGAAAGTTGCTTTTAATGGAGGACGGTGAAGAGATTTTTAAGAGTCTGGTTGACTCTTTTTTCCTCCCCCTTCTCCCCTCCCTCGGCACCCCCCCCCCAACACACACACTAGGAAGGTGATGAAGAAGAGCCAGTTACTAGTAGCTTCTCTGTAGCCCTAGCTCTCACCAGTTGTCTCTTGAATGCATGCAGTTGATCACAAGTGTGATAAGGTGAGTGTGCCTGGGTCAGCGCAAATTCCCTGCCACTGTGGGAAATTAGTCAAAGTAGGATCTGTTGATAGAGACTCATTAATGTCTTACCCCAGGTGGAGGAACAACATATATATGTATAATTATGCTCTTCAGTTTAACTATAGTGCCTCTTTAATTTTGAATACCAATCTGGTCAGTACTTATACATTTGTTTCAAGCTTCTGGAAGAGCATTTTAAAGCTATCCAGCCAATATGGAAGGAGCCTAAACATTGCTTTTAGAATACCATAAAGGGTCATGTCATTATTATGTGGACGGTAAATGCAATTAATTTGTCATCTATTTACTTAAATATCAAATTTTAATATGAAAAATAGCTGCAAGTTGAGGCTACTATAATTCTAGAAAAGAAGTGTTTTACATTTCTGTACTTCCATTAGGAAGTTTCCTATGGAACAAATGCCTACATAATTCAACAGGTAACAGTTTCAGTATGAGGTTAGAGTAGGACTTCTCAGTCTCAACACTATTGACATTTTGGGCTGGATAATTCTTGGTTGTGCGGGGCTGTCTGTCCTTTGCACTGTAGGATGTTCAGCAGCGTCCCTGGCCTCTACCCACAAGACGCCAATAGCACCTTCTTCCTCTCTCCCATCCCCCAAGTTGTGATAACCATGTCTCCAGACATTGTCTATCCTTGGGGGACAAAATTGCCCCTGATTGAGCACCTGGGTTAGGAGCATATGATTGATTAAATCCCTGTGTATCACGTAGTCTAATTATAGAGGCCATTAAGAGAAAAGGGTTTTATTACTGCTTAACTTTTGTAATCCCAGACTAATGTTGATTGTGTGTAATATTTTTTTCCCTGACTGGAGCTCACCTACAATTGCTGCTTGCCTCGTAGTAAAATGTTATTCTTACAGATTGATAGCTAACTTCAAGAACTTTGTTTTCATAAGGAACAGTCTGGTATTTAGTTTGTTTCACAATTTTATATCAGGTTGTAGTAGATACAAGTCTCTCTTTTGTAGCTCAAACTGGAAGATTACAAGGATCGCCTGAAAAATGGAGAGCAACTTAATCCAGACCAGTTGGTAAGTGGTTTATGATCCTTTGGCCAGACCTACCGAGTTTCTTTTCTTAGTAAAACTCTAGATGAATTTGGGGGAGACCAAAGATTTGATAGGCTAAAAAAGAAGAGTGAGAATCCACTGGAGTTTTCAGAAGACTTTGTCTTCACCTATTAGATCTCATAGCTTTGACTTTACTTCTTTTGCACTAGTAGATGGTGTACGGATGGGTGTGTGTGTTGTCAAATAAGAGGGAAAATGTAGACTATCACTAAGAGTTAACGTATGGATTTAAATTAACCTTTCACTAGAGTGGACTAAAGGAGAAGAGCAGGGAATCATCTAGCTTTCTACTTTTCTAAACCTAACATCTCTCTGCTCTGAAATATAAAAGAATATTTACCACAGCTTGCCTTGGTTTTCTCTAGTTGCTTCCCTCTAATTCCTTTGATGGTTTCTCCCTGCTTTTCTATCTTGAATTGCCATGTTCCTTCGCAGGAGGCATGTCTGATATCTATCAGATAGATGTTGGGTCTTTTTTTTTAAATCTTACTATAAATATTTACTATTTACCACATTTAAAAATATTGTTTACCTTGCCCATGGTATACCTGGTAATTGCAAATTTTACCTAATTTTTAAAAAAAATCTTACTATAAATATTTACTATTTACCACATTTAAAAATATTGTTTACCTTGCCCATGGTATACCTGGTAATTGCAAATTTTACCTAATTTTTAAAAAAAATCTTACTATAAATATTTACTATTTACCACATTTAAAAATATTGTTTACCTTGCCCATGGTATACCTGGTAATTGCAAATTTTACCTAATTTTTATTTTAAATCTTACTATAAATATTCACTATTTACCACATTTAAAAATATTGTTTACCTTGCCCATGGTATACCTGGTAATTGCAAATTTTATCTAATTTTTTTTTTAAATCTTACTATAAATATTCACTATTTACCACATTTAAAAATATTGTTTACCTTGCCCATGGTATACCTGGTAATTGCAAATTTTATCTAATTTTTTTTTTAAATCTTACTATAAATATTTACTATTTACCACATTTAAAAATATTGTTTACCTTGCCCATGGTATACCTGGTAATTGCAAATTTTATCTAATTTTTTTTTTAAATCTTACTATAAATATTTACTATTTACCACATTTAAAAATATTGTTTACCTTGCCCATGGTATACCTGGTAATTGCAAATTTTATCTAATTTTTTTTTTAAATCTTACTATAAATATTTACTATTTACCACATTTAAAAATATTGTTTACCTTGCCCATGGTATACCTGGTAATTGCAAATTTTATCTAATTTTTTTTTTAAATCTTACTATAAATATTTACTATTTACCACATTTAAAAATATTGTTTACCTTGCCCATGGTATACCTGGTAATTGCAAATTTTATCTAATGTGGTGAAGGAGAGTTTTTGCAATATGGAAAATTTAAAAGGTGCTTTATTGATGTTTGCCATTTTGACCTGATCACATCTCCTGGCTAAGATGGGGACAAAATTAATCTAAAACTTATTCGATCTAGCTTGTAGATCTATTGTCTTTTATCTTTTTTAACTGAAATTTTGGTTGTGAATCATAGGTCCTGGTATTCAAGGGCTTTTCCCTTGCCATATTGGCTGTACTTCACTGACCTCGAATTTTTGTGATGTAGTAAATTACAGATTTGCTGAGGCACAGATTTGAATTGTCTGAGCTCCGAGAATGATGGGCTTAGATAGCTGGTGAAAGGACTTAGCTGGACATTTCAGCGTTTCAACGTGGCTTTGTTTTTAAGTAGTCATGGTATATTCAATAACTTTTAAAGTGATGAAACTTCCCTTTGTGTAAATACCCTTGGAGGAAATGTTCTGTTACAGTAGTGTTTTTGACTTTGGGGAAACGTAGGGGATGGGAGTGGGGAGGTTGGTGGTTCTCATGATAGCTCTGTAAGAAATGTCGAGGATATGCTATATTTCAGAGCTCCAGCCAGGTAAACTTTAATCTCAGCATTTCATTACTGCCTTCACAACTACATGTTGCTTCTATAGTATTAACTTGGATTTCTTTAGTAATATCCTGACAAATGCCAAATTTATATTGCCAATAGATGAGTCCTCTCAACTCTAGATTCTTATGTCCAGTTGTCTTTGACATCTTTGACTTCATTTTGCTTCCCAGAACCTGTTCCTCCTTTAACCTTCACTATGTCAGTTAATGGCTTGATGAATTAGAAGGATGGAGTTGCCCAAAACCTTGGAAAATTTCTCGTTTTTCTCCTCATACCTCATATCTAGCCCATCAGCAAGTCTGGTCAATTTTGCCTTCAAAATAAATCCAGAAACAGACCATTTCTCATAAATTCTGCTTCTGCCTTCCTGTTCTACACCACATCACCTTTCATCTGCATTACTGTAACAGCTTCCTCACAGGTTTTTCTATTTCTGCTCTCTCTCCAAGTCTATTCTTAACATAGTAGCCTCAGTAATTCTTTTCAAATACAAGTCAGATGGTCATTCCTCTGCTCAAAAGTCCCTCCCTATTGGTTCCCATCATGGTGGCAAAATGTCCTATAAGGTCCTACGGAATATGCTCCCCACTTCCTTTTACATCTTTATTGCATTTCCTGCACTTCTGTCTCCTGCTGGCTTCATCCCAGCAACACTGGTCTACTTGCTGGTCCTCAAACATCCCAGCCACACTTCTACTTCGGGGCTTTTGCATGTGCTGTTCTTACTGCCTGGGATCCTTTTTTCCCAGATGTCTAAATGGCTCCATTCCCAATCTCCTTCAGCTTTTTATTTGAAGGTCATCTTAGTAATGCATGTCCTGACAATACCATACCTCCATTCCCCCATTCACACTCTTTTGCTCCTTTCCTTGCTTTAATTTTCTTAATAAAAGTGCTTCTCTGACAAACTGTAAAGTTTTATCTCTCCTTCCCTTACACTGTAAGTTCCATTAAAGTAGAGATTTTGTCTCTTCACTGTTGGTTTCCTAGTACTTAGAATGGTTTATAGCATATGGTAGGTATTTAAATATTTATTACATATAGATTTACTAAATATAAAATGATTGAATGTTAGGTTTTTAGGTGTGATTAAGTATATAGTTAGTGGTACTTTTGAGAAATAACATCTCCTCATACAAGGAATGTATACTTAAGGTAGAAATTTAGAAAATGCAGATGAGTCAGAAGAAAAAAAATCTATAATCTGACCCCTCAGAGAACTGTTGTCAGTAGTATAGTACTTAATTTAAAAGCTCTAAGTTTAGTTTTTAAAGTTGGAAGTAATTCACATAGTTTCGAAATCAGGAAATATTAAAAAAGATAGTTTTTCTTTCACCCTGTCCTTCCTCTGTTCATTTCTCATCTTACAAAATAATGATTCTAATAGGTTACTTTGTATTTGTCCTTAGTTCCTTTAAGCCTGTATACAGTTTAGCTTAATATAGATACTTCTGGGGCCTTTAGTTTTGCTTCTTTTTTCCTTAGTGTACTTTATTTTTTGGGCAGCTTTAGAAATTGAGCCAACAGTAGAGAGAATTCCTGTATACCCCTTGACCCCCCCACACACGCACAGCCTTCTCAGCTGTCACCATTCCATACCAGAGTGGTACGTTTGTTACAGTTGAACCTACATTGACACATCATCATCAAAGTCCATAGCTTACATTAGGGTTCAACTCATTCTGTGGGTTTTGACAAATACAGAATGGCATGTATCCATTGTTATAGTAACATACAGAATAGTTTCATCGCCCTAAACATCTGTGCTCTGCCTGTTCATCCTTTATTAATATGGTGTCAATGTTTCCATACTACTTTAAAGTTTGGTTGAAATGTTCTCAGACTGTCAGCCTGGTTCTTTTTTGGGTGGGAGTGCTTTGAAAATATTCTCCATTTTTTCTTTGAAAATTGATCTGTTTAGATTTTTATTGTTTTTGGAGTCAACTTTTTAAAACTTTTCCTTGAAAATCACTGATATTTCATCCAGTTTTAAAAAATTATTTGCAAAGATTGGGACAAAGTAATTATTTATAAAAGCCTATTTCTGTATTACTTTGTTTATTTCTAACTTTGTGTGGTTGTATTTCCTTGTTTACTCAATTAAGTTAGTATCTTAAAAAAATTCTTTTCTAAAGCCAGCTTTTATTTTTTCTCTCCTACGCCTTTTATCATTTTGCTTTCCTTTGGTTTATTTGCTTCATTTTCCATCTTTAAGCTGAGTGCTTAATTTGTTTCCTCCCCCCCCCCCCCCCACCAACCTATATGTATTTACAGGTGTGACTATTACTTCAAGCACTGCTTTAGCTGATACTATAGATTTGATTTGATACTGTTTTCAGTATTGTTGGATAGAAATTTTGTAATTCAGTTTGTATTTCTTCTTCAACGCAACAGATATTTGTAATACTGTAAATAAAGCTTTCTATGATCTGCGTGATTATATGTGCCTAGCTAATGTAACCTCTTTTGGTAGTAACTCTTAAGTAACCTGTTGAGACTAAGCTATAGACTTCTAAGATTTCACTATTGCTAACATAAACTTAGATTTCTCCTTTAAAATAGTAAGAAAAGTGTCTTAATGAAGTTTTTTTAGAGTCCCGTTTGTAACTTTAATATCTATTTTGATTCAGGTCTAGATTTGAAATGGAGAACCGAGGCTCAAGTGAGTGCTTGAGCAAAAGGCAAGGGTACTTGATGCTTTCAGCTGCTATACCTGTAGTCTAGGTCAGAGCTTTTGGGAGCTGGTACCAAGGTAGTGGCAGAGGGGTTTGAATAAAGTAGTTGGATTTGAGAGGTAAAATCAACATAGCTTGGTACTGTGTAGGAATAGAGAGAAGAACCAAGAGTGGTTTCCAGGTTTCTGGCTTGAACAGTTGGGTGGATGGCAAAACCATTTATTGGGCTTGGAAACACTGGGAGAGAAGAATGTTTCGGGAGGATGGGATAAAGAGCTCAATTTTGGACCATTGATTTTAATGTGCCTGTGAAACATTAAAGGGTGAGATATCTATTAAGTATTTATGAGAAGGTTTGGAGCATAGAGAAGTTTAGTCTACAGATCTATCACCTGTATGGCTGCTAATCAAAGCCATGAGAAAAGATGAGACTATCACGGGTGAGAGTATAGAAAGCAGAAAAGAAGCATAAGACAGAATGCTAAAGAAATCTGACATTTCATGTTTGGATAATAATGGCTAAAAATATTGATAGTGAACTTACTTTCGGGCCAGGCATCATTCTGAGTGATTTATAAACATGAGATCATTTAAATTGCACATCTCTGTTATATAAGTCCTATTATCTTTATAAGTGCTTAAAAACTGAGGTGAGAATAGTTAATGGAAAAATTGCTGATAAATAAAAAGCTGGAGAAATGGGAAGTTAGTGTTAAAAAAAAACAAGGGATCTTAGTAGAGCAGGAGGATGCCTTTATGTTGAAGTCTAATGAGAAGTTAACCAAAATGAGAGCTATACAAGATCCATAGGTTTAAAGGATGGGACTGACATCGCTGACTTTAGCCAGGACAGTTCTGGTGGAATGGTGGAAAAATTCAGGTTGATAAGGGCTGAGGAGGAAATGGAAACTGTGTAGGCATTTTTGATATATGTCTGAGACTGGAAGGATGTGGTTGACAGAAAGGCACTTTTTATTTTTCTTATTTAGGTTGGGGGAGACTTGAACTTGTTAAATGCTGGTTTCAGCATCAACAGAGAGGGAGAGGCTCAAGACATTAAAGAGGGAATCAGAGTAAGATCTCCCGTGAAGGCAGAATTGAATAGGATCCAGGGCACAGGTGGAAGGACATCTCCTCCACTATATAAAGAAAGAGAGAAAGAAAGGATGGATCCACATTTGATGATGGGAAGTCGAGGTAGTTCCCATTTGATTTTGCTTTTCTTGAGTCAGAGTTAATACCATTTGGGAGTAGATATGAAGTGGTATTCCTTTTTAGTTTTACATCCCTTTGAGGACTGTATGATATGGTTATGTTATCTGTGCATTCTTGGTTCTATATTTGGAAGGCCTCTCTACCTGTTTTATTAAGAAATATGTAGTCCAAACAAAGTATTGCATGTCAGTTACAATGCATAATAAAGCAAATGTCAGAACCCACTGCTCAACCCAAATAGTATATTACCAACACTGAAGCTCCTTTGCAGAACTCTCTTTCCTGTAACCTGTCCTTGAACTTTTTCACCCTCATTCCCTTGCCTTTTTTTTTTTTTTTTTTTTTTTTTTTTTTTTTTTTGGCGGTACGCGGGCCTCTCCCTGTTGTGGCCTCTCCCGTTGCGGAGCACAGGCTCCGGACGCACAGGCTCAGCAGCCATGGCTCATGTGCCCAGCCGCTCCACGGCATGTGGGATCTTCCCGGACCGGGGAACGAACCCGTGTCCCCTGCATTGGCAGGCGGACTCTCAACTACTGTGCCACCAGGGAAGCCCCTTCCTTTTGTTTTAACAGGACTAATTTGTTGTCCTTAAATCTGTTAGGGTTGCTTTTTTGAAACTTATGAAAAATGTTATACTGTATATTCTTCAGTTTATCATTTTTACTCATTATGTTTAGGATTTTTATATTGATGCAAGTAGCTATATTTCATTTGCTTTTCTCTACTTAGTAGTAGTCTGTAAATAGATGGATGTTTGAGTTGTATATTTTTTGGCATTCTACTTTGATTGGTCTTATATGTGTTACTGAGATACGGGTGTAAGATTTCTTCAGGGTGTATACCTATCATTGGGTTGTAGGGTATACCCATAGTTAACTTCATAGTAAAAATGTTAAACTATTTTCCAAAATTATTGTACCAATTTATGCTAAGACAAGTAGTACACAGGAGTTCTTATTGTTCTGTACCTTTATAAAGACGTAGTACTATCAGATTATTTTAAAAACAGCTTTATTGAGGTATCATAAATATATTATAACATTAACCCATTGTAAATGTACAATTCAATAATTCATAGTAAATTTGTAGAGTTATGCAGCTATCACAACAATTGAGTTTTAGAACATTTCTATAACCCCTTCAAGTTCTCTTTTGTGCCCTTATTTGCTTTCTATCTCTATAAATTTGGCTTTTCTGGATATTTCATATAAAATAAAGTCTTGCATCTGGCTTTTTTGACTTACCATTATGTTTTTGAGGTTCATCCATGTTATAGCATGTATCAGTAATTCATTTTTATTGCTAACTAGAATTCCTTTGTATGGTTATAACACATTTTGCTTATCCATTTACCAGTTGCTGAATATTTGGATTGTTTTTATTTTGGGCTATAATGAATAATGTACTATATAAATTTACTTACAAGTCTTTAAGTGGGCATATGTTTTAATTTCTTTTGGGTAGATACCCAGAAGTGGAATATTATATTATTTTAACCGTGGAGGCTTTGTAATACGCTTTTGTCTGATTGGACAAGTTCCCCATCTTGTTCTGTTTCATAATGGCCCTTTGAGGTAAAGTCCCACAAAAAAAATAGATAACTAATGAGAACGTGCTGTATAGCACAGGGAATTGTACTTCACTGTACAGTAGAAACTAACACAACATTGGAAAACAGCTGTACCCCAATTAAAAAAACAAAACAACCTACCCCTTCTCTAATTATCAACTTTGTTCATCTGTGACATCTCACAGAAAATTTCCCTCTTTAAATTTACAGGGAATTCCCTGGAAGTCCAGTGGTTAGGACTCTGCACTTTCACTGCTGAGGGCCCGGGTTCAATCCCTGGTTGGGGAACTATGATCCTGCAAGCCGCACGGTGTGGCCAAAA